CCCGGCGAGCGTGGTCCGAAGCAGGTGTCGCGTCCCGGCCGCCCGCCAGCGCGAGGTGGGAAAGGACCTGGTGCTTCCAGCTGGAAACCAGTCCCGGGAAAGTCCTGCAAGGGGCTGCGACCTGTGCGTTTGCAAAGCACAGAGCTTGGCCGGGGCGTCTGGTTTGACTCGGGATCACCATCCCTGCGCCCGGAAAGGAGCCAGATCTCTAGCCGATGGTGCCCCTTTAAATCAGAGCAGCGTTACTCCGACTTCTCTCATTCGGGCTGGAGTCCCTTGGAAAATTAGGGCGAGCTGCGGGCTGCGAACGCGTTTGACTTTGGCAAGCGCAGCATCTTAATCAACATCCATTACAATTTCCATGACAACTCTGGGGAAGGTGGGAAGCAACTCCTTCCCGTTGAGCGTGTGCAAGCTTGCAAGCGCCGGGTCCTGCTCCTTGGGCAGCGGTCGGCGAAGCACCAACCCTTGATTAATTATTCCTAATTAAGCGCCGCAAGGAAAAGGAAAAAGGCTGCCTGGCCTAAGGGCTCCTCGTCCCTCGTTTTTCACCAGCCGGTTGGGGCGACCGTGGTTTGGTGGGGGGAGTCGCCGCTAATCTCCAGCCAGCACCGCAGCCTGCAAGAGGCTCTAATGTATTCCTGATTAATCATTATTAGGCGGTTCATTAGCCATGGCTCAGCACGGGAACAGATTGGGAGGGGCAACAGGGCTCCAATAATTAAACCGCAACGGTTTTAGGAGCAGGTATTAGGCGCTTCTCACCGCATTCTTCACCCAAGGCAGCAGGAGCTTTTCCCCTTTAATGCTGGTTAAACGCGGCACGAAAGAAGCTTCTCTCCTGGCCCCACGCATTCCCGCACCTTCCTTTATTTTTTGTTTTTTCTGCATTTCTTGCTATTTTCACCGTGTTTGTGCACGGCCCGCACCACACCGGGATTCTTCTGTGCGCCGGGGCGGGCATGCCGCCAGGGCTTTGGCTTGCGAATCTCCCCAAGCATCCCTTGGCCGCCGAGCGCCGGCGTTTCCACCCGGCGCCGTGCCGTGAGGCTCGGGACAACCTTTGGCCACCCTCAAAAAGAGAC